TTAGATGAAGGATATATCATCTAATATAAGGAATTATCCCCCATTCAGTAATTTTTTTTTTTTTTGAACAAGTTGTCAAAGGACGAGCTCAAAACCCGCCTATGAAAAAATGAAAATGCACCTCAAGTTGGCAGGCTACCAGTAATTCTTGTTTACAAAGACTCATTAACTATGTATTTGAGTTGAGCTGACAAGAGTAATGAAAGGAAGGAGATGTTCATTTCCTTCTCTTCCATACCTTTTTCTCAATTAATTAAGTAAATAAATTAAAATAAATAAATTTTTTTTCCTCTCATCTCCTCTTTAATTGTTTTTATAACTAAATAAAAAAAATTTTAAAAAATAAAAATCACTGCAACATCTAGTCCCTATATCAAACCTTATAGAATGGAATAATCTGTTGTGGATCAATCATGTTGATGAACGCATAGCCCACGTTGCATTTATTCTGTTGACAATATTTGCAGGTTTAGAGTTGGAAAAAGAAATAAATGTACTTTCATACAATAGAGTCCTAAATGAGGATCTCTACCCTCCAATCACCCCTGCCTAAGATACTTCAATGGGGAGAAAAGTTCATCAAACACATAATTTACTCGCCTTGAAGTCAATGGGCAAATAAATGAAATCATACGTTCCTCGACAGTGCTCATCGATTGCAGCCAGAAGCATCTTTGAGGTATACCTGCAGAAAACAGGCTATCAGATTGAAAAGAAGGAGAGGGAAAAAACTGAAAAACAGAAGCAAAAGTATCCATACCAGAAAAGTTTAACATACAACATAACCATTAATCATTCAACACCGATGCTGAATTTACTTTAACAACATTCTAAAATATGGTCAAATTAAAATGACTCAAACTACACTATCAAAACCATAAACAACACTAAGAAACAGACTGATCAAATAATAATCATAGAATTGTGGGAAGAATAGTTTGATTACAAAAGGAGAGATGGAAGGTGAAGGAAATAAAAATAAAACGACTAGTGTATCAGGAAAACTATTAACATACTTGTTAGGAATATTCTTTATCATCAGCGTTGTTCTGCTGTCTTCCCCATGTATGATGCGGTCAATGTCAAGTTCATATTGTTTCTTGTCAGCATTGTTAGGATTTGATTCATTTCTACGGTGTGAGAAATTTCTCACACGTTCATTAGGAGACTCAAAAGAACCTGGCATAGATATCACTGGGTTCCTTCCCGGTAAAAGGTGACACATTTGCTGAGGAGAGTGTACCACACCATTGCTTCCAGCAGCATGAGAGAAAATGCTGTGAGAAGCAATTTCCACAGCGTGTGATGGTGAACTACCAGGAAATGCAATATTCCCTAGAGATCCCAAGTGAAAACCAGTATCAGGAGATTCCCCAGCATAGGCATGTCGCCTGTCCCAGAATGGTGAATTAACTGGTGGTGCTGAACCAATATGGTGGTGTACAGGTGACACTGCATTTAGCATAACAGGAGGTACCCTAGGAAACGCAGGGATCTGCTGAAGACGATTAGCATGAATGCCATTTACAAAAGAGGGTGAATTGGGCCAAATCATGGCACTTGGAGGATGCTGGTGATGAGAGTTGGAATTGTTCCATGCATAATGATTTCCATGAAGTGATTGGCTTCCATTACTAGGTGATCCAAAAACTAGAGAGAAAATTAATCAGCATATAAGTCAATAAGAAATGAAAAATGAAAAAGAAGTCAACACTTAAAAGAGAGGCATCATTTTATCAAGTATGATAAATAAATAAATCCAAAATCTCAACACCATGAACTACAAAGCATCAAGCTATTCTTGCATGAGTGACATTTATGAACTTAGTAGCCTCGTACTTGAGTTCTCTTAGCAGTTACTTTCTCTATCTCAGTTGTCACAAGTGAACTTAGTAGCCTCATACTTGAGTTCTCTTAACAGTTACTTTCTCAATCTCAGTTGTCACAAGTGATGCAGGTTAGCATGTGAAACTATTAACATTAAATATAATCAACACAGCTTACCCCCACCACTAGGTTCTATCCGGTGCCCATTTGTGCTCACTCCACGAATGTGCCTATTATCAAGTCCATCAGTAATTCGGGGACCAAGACCGCCAACCATCTCTGGAATGGTGCTTGAGGAGTTGGATGGAAGACTTTTGGCTAAATTATCATGATACTCAGGAAAGGAATGAGGATGGAAACTTGAAATGGAATGGCCCCCAAACTTCATTTCATCCACAGACTGGTTTGGCTCCTGAAGGTTATATTGGTTGCTAATGGATGCCACTCTTGCAGGAGAGGGTAAGTTAATTGGAACACTAGACGTTCGATTTGGTTCAATAAACGTGTTCACAGGTGACTCAATAACATTCTGTAATACTGAGGCAGATCCATTATCCATGTAGCCAGATGCACTTACCCCAGTTATTGCTGTAAATCATAATGGGAGAACAGACTATAAGTACTAAGACAACAAGCTTACATTAATCAAAGAGAAGAAACAATTAATGACCAAACCATACCAATTTGTCCTGCCATGAAGTCATCAAAAGGGCTTTCACAGAGATTAGAGTCATCTTGCTCCTGGTCTGATTGTTGCACAAAACTGCAAAAGGAATTCCTTTTCATATATCAAGTAATTATAGAGATAAAAAGGAAAAAGTTAAAGAAACAGCTCAGTTATACTAATAATTGCACCTTATATGGTCCAATAAATTGATTAAGTGATATTGATAGTTAAACATTATCAGCAGAATATGGATGTGGAAGTAAAATCATAAAACCATTGTATAAGGGACAATAGAGTCCTTTCCACACCCAGGACCAGAAAAAGTAGTCATCATAAAGGTCCCATCCCCTTAGCAACAATACACCTCCCTACAAGCAGTAAAAAATAAAAAATAATAAAAATAAAATAAGTAGTGCAGGTAGATGATATACCGTCTTACACCCCCTGGACGACTAGGTTCAAGTTTGATCTGCTTCCCAGCAATGTCACTCCTATTCAATGCATGAAGAGCAGCATCAGCAGCTCTAACATCATAAAATTCAATGAACTTGTGATTTTGCTTATGTGGAGTCTCACGGATCTGCAAAGCAGAATTAACCACATTACTCAAAATGCATCATCCTTAATATAAGCAAATGTAAACCTGAAGGAATTCAATGAACCACACACTTCTTTAATTTCTCCAAAACCACCAAAAATCCGTTGAAGCTCATCAGTTGAAACAGAGGAATCAAGATTGAAAACCACCAGTGTTCCCTGATTGACATCTTTTTCAGATGGATTATCCTGGTTTATTGTCAAGCAAAGAAAAAAATCAATAAAACATAGTGTTACCAACATGACGATGTAAGAACCAAATAAATGAAGAAACAGCAACAACAACCTTTGGAATAGAATAATGTATATCGAGTTTCCTACGCCTCAATGGCTTATTTTGGAGAACTCTCATCGCATTTCGGGCTGCCCTTATATCATAATAAGAAATCATAACAAACCCACGATGCTTGCAGGCTGTATAGAGAGTACGGATATCTCCATATTGCTGACAGAAAACAACTAACTGTCAATCCAACTTGCAGACACATCTCCATATAGGGCATAAAGGTAGAGGTTCCAACAAATATTGAAATAAAGGGAGGAATACAAACCTCAAAAAGTGCTTTGAGTTCAGAATCTTCAACACTACTGTTAATGTTTCTCACAAAAAGAGTTCTAGAAGGATGTTCACCATAAGGGTGTTCACCGACAATTGAACCATTGGATGCTCCTACAAGATCTATATTTCTTTGGCCCACACCTAAACGATCATCACCTTCCAATTCCAAGCCACCACAACTGCTAAATAGGTCAAACTCCTCTAATTCGTCACCCCTATTGGCAGGAGTATCAAGTCCCAATTCATCAATTACTCCAGAAAAAAGATCATCTTCGTCAGGAAGGAGATTTCCAATGGTCTTTGCCTCAATTTCTTCAAGAGATTCAAAAGGATCTTCCTCATGGTTGGCAGCAACTTTAACGGCAGGTTGATGAGATGGAGCACCATTTCTCATCAATTGCACTACATAAAGAAAAGAAAATTAAAGAACAAATCAGGTAGATGAAGTTATTGTTCCATTAAATAGATTAACTTTTAGCACTATTTTCAAAATCCTGATCCAAAATGCCTGATTTTCTGAATGTTTGATTAACAGGAAACCACAGGAGACTGGATAGCCAAGAGACACAAACAGAAAATGCTTTTTTGTACCTCGTCAATTATTTTTAGCATTAGTGTTTGGTGTGCTACACAGGAAAATTAAAAGGGCTATCTGTCATGCCACAGAGCATTAAGACCAATAAAGTATCTTCTTCTAGGAAAAATGAGAGCAACAAATCAAACATTGGAAAAAATATACAAGCTCAAGATGCATAAAGAATATATCTTACACTTCCGACTAAATACTTCTGACACAGAACTAGAGAACAAACTGCTTTCATGCTGGATCAAGTTGGCATTGGCCCTGTTTCCATTTATATTATTTGCTGCTGTTAGCATATACAAATCAGACCAAGATTTTGGATGACGATCTGCCGAATTCCGTGAACTCTCAGACAAACTAGAAATTCCTCCTCTTCCCCCCATGCCTAGCTTTCCTTCCTGGTCTCTGGCCAGATTCGACAGTGGCAGTTCGGATGGTGAAGAAGCGGCCATCTTGTCTGTAGACATCACAGATTCAGAACTCACAGAAACACAATCATTTTTAAAAAGGAAAATGCCATACAATTTCCAGTAAGAATATCCAAGATTAGAATGCAACAAGTTATTAAGAGTAAAAAGCTCTAATTATGCTGTAATTAGGCACACCAACTATAGATTTGACAATTTGTACAGACAACCAGATGAAGGAATTGAAGAAGGAATTAATAAAGATGTAGAGAGCCATCTCTGGCTTAAATTTCTCAGCAAGCACAGTACACAAGGAGACAACAAGAAAGAATCAACAATGTGAAATATGAAGAAAGTACGCTTAGCACTGGTCTAGAAAGCAGATTTTGCTTAAAAATGTGCAACGAAGGATTTCATTAAACTTATTAAGATAAGGTTATCATACCATGTCTACAATGTCTGACTTTTTAAAATTTTTCTGTGGTGATTATGCAAGGGTACTATTCTAACACACAAGATATGCTGCAATCAGGAAACAAACACATATAAATGCTTTAGATACAGACCAAAGGGGTTTCAACTTGCAACCAGCCCGTCCAGTTTATTGATGCATTCCATCATTCACTCAGACATAGTTATTGAGCATGTCTCACAAGCACCAAACAGGCATCATTGCTAGATTCACTACACTTTATTTACTGGAGATGTCAAGGTTAACCTAGTTGCCAGCTACAGTACTTATACAATAACATCCCACAGCCAAACTACCATCCTGATAGTCAGAGCCTATTTGAAAGCCAATGACATGGAGAATGAATTTAAACAAATTGATTAGCAAACACAAGCAATCACTTAGCAACGAGGACAATTCTCACCTGAGTTATCAAGCATGTTATTTGGCTTCCAAAATCCAATTTTCCTCTGCCCAACAAAAGTTGAAAAAAGAAAAACAAAAAGCTTACTCATTTCTAATTCAATCGGGATAAAAGTTGAGAGAAATTACAGATTTGAAGCAACAGCAAACATGTAGGAATACCTCAGCTGGCAACCTGATGTCTTCAAAGAAGTGGGGAGATGCAGATGAACCCCTTTGATCCATGATCTCAAACGGCATCACGCAGCTTCTTCACAGGAACAACTAAAAAAAGAGAGACAGAAACTTCAAAACCTCCCACTTGTGATTATGCCCAGTCTTAAAGGCCTTGTCCTGAAATGCATTCAATACACATGCACTTAATACATCTTAAAAAAAATGTGTTTCTGCAAAGGACAACTGCATCGGAGATCCAATACAAAGAAAAAAAAATGAATATGAACAAATCCCTTGATTTATGCTCCAAATGGATATAAACAGAGACCATTGAGTTAACATAACACCAAAATGGGCAATCACTACTAATATGGGTTCATGGGAAAAATAAAAAGCAGTTCTGTTTTATTCCCTTCTATTACAAGTTTGATTGATACTATCATGAAAATGAAACACACTAGGTTACCTACCAAAGACAAACAACACTCTGCGTTTGGTTTTCAAGAAAAAGGTAAGAAAATCAAAACAATGGAGAAGCACATACCTTATAATAGTAACACAGAAGAAAAGAAGAAAAAAAAAAAATGAAGGCAATCCATCCTAACCACTGTGTAATTTGCATAATAAACCTTTGTTGCTCAATTATTCGAATCTTCCATTTCCAGACAACATACAAACACTCAACAATCAAATTTTAGTTTCCTTCTCTTTCCCACACTTTTTCTACACAGCCAATCTAGATTCTTATGGAGTTTCAACCCAGAAGAAAAACGTTAACTTACAGATCAGTTTAAAGTAACCCAGCATTCCTGAAATCGAATCGTTTCTACTTTAAAACAGTCCCTTCAAATACCTAATTCCCAATTGTCAAATGACAAAACTAAAAATACCCTTGATCAGATCAGGAAAGCAAATTAAGAGGGAAAAAGAAAAGCCTAAATCTTGCAACTTAACATTGAAACTGCAGACCAAAAAAACCCAAATTCACAGCATGAAAACCATGTAAAGCAGCAAACTTTCAAGATTAAGACAAAAAGTTTGACCTAATAAAACAGAACCCACCGCACCTTCCCAAAAAACCCTTAATGAAAATCTCGAATTCTGCTTTCTCCCACGAATCCTGCAGCTTTTACGTCTTGAATTGCCGCGTAGCAAGAGGAGAATGCAACAGGCATTTACCCAAAAGGAGCAATTGAGGAAGAAAGAGAAAGAAAGATATTCAAGGCATAAAGGATGAAGGCAGGGCAAGCGATCTCAGCATCTTTTTCCCTGCATTGCAAGTTATTGCTCACCACAAGAGAGAGAAAGAATATTTTTCCCCTCTTTTCTTCATTTTTGTTTTCTTCTATCCAACCATAAGAACAGAATCATTCAAAAAGAAAAAAATATATATACAAAATCAAAATTCCATCTCCATTTTCCCTCTCCCTCTTCACGGCTACCGATTAAGAGTATCAGACCTCGACAATTCAAAATTCCGAATTAAATCAGAGCGACTCTCCGGCGAGAAAATACTCTCGCCGGCCTCCGCTCACCGTCGAGCTGTTGAGAGAGAATGAAAGAAGAGGATTTTTTAGAGAGAGAATGCAGCAGTAAACACAAAATTGTTAGTTGGCTTTGGGAAAATAAAATAAAAATAAATAAAAGACAAAAACGGAAAAAAGAATTGGGTGTGTTTGGGTGTTTGATACTTTGATTGTGGATAAAGCAGTAAGAAATCAGACCCGTTCCTTGGAAAGCGTGCGGTGTTGATTTTTTGATGAAATTTTTGTTAGAACGGCTTCGTGCTCGCGCCTCGGCCCTAAGCCGATGAGCTGGTCCGGACGCCTTTAATGGTAGCTGAGCTGGATAAATCAAAATTTTTTTAATAAAAAATGATTTATCAATAATCTTTTTATATAACTTTTTTATGTAATTTTATATATTATTTAAATTATTGATTCTTTTTATTTATTTAAAATATATAATATTAAATGTATCTATTTATTTTATTACATGTAAAAATTATAAAAAAAAT